CTACTTTTACCGGGAAGTAGTCTCCCCCTCTTCTACACACCTTAACCTGAGCCTCACTATCCTCATAAAAACTCTTTACAGCATTTAGTAACTTACCACCTATTCCATATACTTGCAACATCTGCACATTGCTCCTCTATCCACTCTATCATATGCCTTTTCTAAATCCATAAATGCAATAAAAACTTCCCTACTTTTATCTAAATACTGTTCACATATATGCTTCAATGTAAACACTTGATCTACACATCCCCTACCCACTCTGAAACCTCCTTGCTCATCCACCATCCTACATTCTGTCTTACCTCTAATTCTTTCAATTATAACCCTACCGTACACTTTTCCTGGTATACTCAGTAAACTTATTCCTCTATAATTTTTACAATCTCTCTTGTCCCCTTTCTTTTATATAAAGGGACTATACATGCTCTCCGCCAATCCCTAGGTACCTTCCCCTCTTTCATACATTTATTAAACAAAAGTACCAACCACTCCAACACTATATGCCCCCCTGCTTTTAACATTTCTGTCATGATCCCATCAGTTCCAGCTGCTTTACCCCCTTTCATTCTACGTAATGCCTCACGTACCTCCCCCACACTTACATTCTGCTCCTCTTCACTCCTAAAAGATGGTATACCTCCCTGGCCAGTGCATGAAATTACCGCCTCCCTTTCTTCCTCAACATTTAAAAGTTCCTCAAAATATTCTCGCCATCTACCTAATACCTCCCTCTCCCCATCTACTGACTCTCCTACTCTGTTTTTAACTGACAAATCCATACTTTCCCTAGGCTTTCTTAACTTGTTTAACTCACTCCAAATTTTTTTCTTATTTTCATTAAAATTTCTTGACAGTACCTCTCCCACTCTATCATCTGCTCTCCTTTTGCACTCTCTCACCACTCTCTTTACCTTTCTTTTACTCTCCATATACTCTGCTCTTCTTATAACACTTCTGCTTTGTAAAAACCTCTCATAAGCTACCTTTTTCTCTTATATCACACCCTTTACTTCATCATTCCACCAATCACTCCTCTTTCCTCCTGCCCCCACCTTCCTATAACCACAAACTTCTGCCCCACATTCTAATACTGCATTTTTAAAACTATTCCAACCCTCTTCCACCCCCCCCCCACTACTCATCTTTGCACTAGCCCACTTTTCTGCCAATAGTCGCTTATATCTCACCCGAATTTGCTTCTCCCTTAGTTTATACACTTTCACCTCCCTCTTACTTGTTGTTGCCACCTTCCTCTTTTCCCATCTACCTCTTACTCTAACTGTAGCTACAACTAATAATGATCCGATATATCAGTTGCCCTCTATAAACATGTACATCCTGGAGCCTACTCATCAACCTTTTATCCACCAATACATAATCTAATAAACTACTTTCATTACGTGCTACATCATACCTTGTATATTTATTTATCCTCTTTTTCATAAAATATGTATTACTTATTACCAAATTTCTTTCTACACATAGCTCAATTAAAGGCTCCCCATTTACATTTACCCCTGGCACCCCAAATTTACCTACTACTCCTTCCATAACATTTTTACCCACTTTAGCATTGAAATCCCCAACCACCATTACTCTCACACTTGATTCAAAACTCCCCACGCAATTCACTCAACATTTCCAAAATCTCTCTCTCCTCTACACTACTCTCTTCTCCAGGTGCATACACACTTACTATAACCCACTTTTCACATCCAATCTTTATTTTACTCCACATAATCCTTGAATTTATACATTTATAGTCCTCTTTTCCTGCCATAGCTTATCCTTCAACATTATTGCTACTCCTTCTTTAGCTCTAACTGTTTGAAACCCCTGACCTAATTCCATTTATTCCTCTCCACTGAAACTCTCCCACCCCTTCAGCTTTGTTTCACTTAAGCCAGGACATCCAGCTTCTTCTCATTCATAACATCCACAATCATCTCTTTCTTATCATTTGCACAACATCCACGCACATTCAGACTTCCCACTTTGACAATTTTTCTTCTTATTCTTTTTAGTAATATTTACAGGAAAAGAGGTTACTAGCCCATTGTTCCCGGCATTTTAGTTGACTTTTACAACACGCATGGCTTACGGAGGAAAGATTCTTATTCCACTTCCCCATGGATATAAAAGGAAAAATAATAAGACCAAGAACTATTAAGATAAAATCAAAGAAAACTCAGATGAGTGTGTATAAATAAACGTGTACATATATGTGGAGTGTGACCTAAGTGTAAGTAGAAGTAGCAAGATATACCTGCAATCTTGCATATTTATGAGACAGACAAAAGACACCAGCAATCCTACCATCATGTAAAACAATTACAGGCTTTCGTTTTACACTCACTTGGCAGGGACGTAGTACTTCCTGGGTGGTGCTGCTACAACTACTACATTATTATTATTATTCATTATTATTATTATTAACACATCTAAAATATTCTAATGCGATTGTGAAATCTCATTTTGCTTACCAATCACATAAAACAACCAGGGTATATTTTGTGAAGGGATTCCAGGGAGAAACCGGTTAGCTGGATGAGTCTGGGTGGAAAGTCCAATGGCTGCACTTTAAAGGAGGGGTTTAAAAGATAATGGCTATTTGGAATGGACATCGACCTGTCCAAATCTGGGCACCTCTGAAAAGAATGATTATCTTGTGAATGAAATCCGGTAAATTGAGGAATGAGACATTATGACAAATATGGGTGGGGAGAATCTTTATTGAGGAAACGTTTCGCCCACAGAGGCCTTCACCAGTCCAGAATTTGATGGACTGAACACACACACACACACACATTATTATATATATATATATTTATATATATATATTTATATATTTATATAAACACTGATCTCTGGCTGAAGAAGACTCGAAACCTCACGGAAACCTTGGAACAAGGTACGCAGTGCTATACCATTCTCACCTCTCGGACCATACCTTGGCGGTCCAGCTCTTGCGGCTAGACGTTGACCAAGGCAGCCAGCTTTCAGGGAGAAGGCTTTACAGCTTTTCATTAATCCCCAGCATGCATCAGCCTTAACTAGTGATTTAAAATGCAAGGAATTCGCAATTGCAGGAGAAATATACACAAACAGAACTCTGGTGAACGAGACTCGAAACCTACGAACCTTGAAACACGGTACGTAGTGCTATACCATTCTCACCACACTGGACAATTACCCTGGCGTCAAGCTTGTGCGAGCCGTTGATCCAAGGCAGCCAGCTTTCAGGGAGAGGCTTACATCTTTTCATCTCATACCCTGACTTGCATCAGCTTACTAGAGATTTTAACAATGAAAGGAATTCGAAAGAGCAGGCGAAAATAACACAAAACCACTGACGCTGGCTGAAAGAGACTCGAACTAAGAACCTTGGAACCGGGTACGCAGTGCTATACCATTCTCACCACCCACTGGGACCAATACCTTGGCGCCAGCTTGCGCTAGACGTTGATCCAAGGCAGCAGCTTACAGGGAAGAAGGGCTTACAGAGAAGGTTACGGGCCAAGGTATAGTCCAGTGTGGTGCGAAGGGTTATCAGCACTGCCGTACCTTGTTCCAAGGTTCGTAGGTTCGAGTCTCCTTCAGCCAGAGATCAGTGTTTATATATATATATTTATTATATATATATATATATATATTTTTATATATTATAGATTTATATATATAATGTGTGGGTTCAGTCCATCAATTCTGGACTGGTGAAGCACACTGTGTGGCGAAACGTGTCCTCAATAAAGATTCCCATTATGGTTACTTTATAAGTGTCTCATTCTTCCATTTACAGGTTTCAGAACGGATTATCTCACACACACAACACACACACAAACACACACACACTTAAAATATATATAAATATTTTTATTTTTATATATATCATATATATTTTATATAACTATTTATTATATATATATATATAAAACACGTCGGCCGTTTCCCACCGAGGCAGGGTGACCCAAAAACAATGAACTTTCATCATTCAAATATTTCACCATCACTCATACATAATCACTGTCTATACATCCTAAAATATCTCTCGTGTTTGTGGCATTTAGGTGGATTGATGAAATTCAACAACACAACAACACATAGCTCCCGGCTATGGCATTCAACAGCCTAGCATCAGTTGGTTGCCCAGGGTTTGTTTGGCTACTGCCTAGGAGGAGAGCGGAGATTCTTGTTCGAACATAAAAATGTTTACATATGAATAACTAATGAAAGTGTCATCAACACTTGTCAGTGCTCAATCATATCCCACATGGTGACAGAAACTCAGAAATATTAATTGATCTCCCGTATATTTCAACCCCTTTGGACCCGGGGGAGGGGGTTTCGAAATATACAGATCAATTAATTATCTGGGTTTCTTCTACCATATGGGTTATTTCTGAGCATGTTTACATATAATTACGCCAATTTTCGTCTGTGTATCCCCTGTGCAGTTATGTAGTAAGCAGCATTATCATCTGCATTGCAGTGTTCTCTTCTGTCACGTTAGAGATCACAGCCATCCTACTGACTCGTCTTCTGCTAAAACTGTCTTTCCAACTTCCAACTTTAACAGTTGCAGTGCAACATGTTAACAACGGTATGCTACATTTATTTACTAATTTGTACCAACAGATGTTGCTTGTTGATATATAAGCGTGGAGGGGGTTGATGTGGCCCCGTACAACACCTATAAAAATATATGGCCGGCAGTATCAGCTACGCCACCACCATAATCATTTAAATCTATCACAACAGTTAAAAAAATAAGCCACATTTCCTTGCCAAATTGTACCAAACATATACGAACTCATTATACGTACAATAATAATAATAATAATAATAATAATAATAATAATAATAATAATAATAATAATAGATATGAAAGAAACATACGACAAGCGATCTTCTGGAATGAAACAATTATACATGTGGGAAGAATGATATAAAAAACGAGAAAATTAAATTTCCAGAGATTATAAGAGACAACCACCCACCTGAGAGTGAGGGCCTCAGAGTCAGCAAAGTCTGAGCTGAACCATTTGAAGATAGAGTTGATGACGAGGGTGTTGTCGTTCTTCAGGGTGACGGAAGTGTTGCAGAGTCGCTTCATAGCGTCGTCCAGGTCCTGGTCTAGCTGCTGCCTCGGGCTGTACGAGGTGAGTGGTGAGCACCCCTGGTAGAGGCGGCCTCGTGAGACTTATGTGGTGTATGGTATATAGTAATACATAATGGTTCCGTGTAAACATATATTCTAATATCTCAAAAAAGTAAAGTTTAATGGTACTCACATTCAGTATATTCAGGACCTCTGAAAAAAGGTCCTGAATGTAAAGAGAACTGAATTCTTAGTTTCATTTATGAATTCCAGTCATGGGCAGGAATTATTCAAATAAAATGATCATTGCTTTAAATACCAGATTGCCAGAAGGCACTGAAGTGTAATACCTCAAATAATATTTAACTTTATTACAAACTCATACTGCACGCTGCACTATTCAAATCGCTTGCATCGAGGCACAGGGGGCTGGGGTTATGCATCACATGGATACATCTAGTTATTATTATTTTATGTGAATTTAAAAAAAAAAAAAAATAAGGAAGAGAAGTAGCTCACCAGGGCACCACAATTGAGAGCTGCATGGATGCGGTGGTCAGCAGCCACGGAGAGGGCCAAACGGGGGTCGGTCGCTCCAAAGAAGACGGTGCCGGTTGTTGGATGTGGTCGGTTATCTGTCGAAGATCTGGTTAATGAGTCATAAGAAAATATTTGGGTATTGACTGAAAGCGACTATTCTCGTACTAGCACTCTGATTAATTAGAACGACGATATTCAATTGTTAAGGTGTGTGTTCTTTTCTAGTAGACGATATTCGTGGTAGACTTCACTAATTACACATTACATGTTATCAGATAAACTTTTGTTTCTTGTGGATGAACGGCAATAAAATTGTTGCAGTTTCAGTTCTTTAATATTTTTAATTCTATAATCATCGAGCAAGGATGAACAGAAAGTTAGAACAGGTTATTATACTAGAATTGGTATAAACCTTGATAATAAATACCGACAAGTTGGTTTAGAAAGACACGTAAGCAAACACTATGACATATTTATTAGAAAACGTTTCGGTCCTGGGACCTTGATCAGAAGTGATCAAGGTCCCAGGACCGAAACGTTTTCTAGTAAATATGTCATAGTGTTTGCTTACGTGTCTTTCTAAACCATACTAAAATTACAACAGCGTTACTTACACGTTCAGTCAGGAGGTACCACAAACTCAAGATCAGATTAAACATGACTATGGGTGGATGTCCTAACTCAATTTTGCCCCAGCTGGACATATTACTAAGGCGTACTAGGATACGTTCACTTTGCTGCTATAACAATCAAACCAGTTAGTTGTAAGTACAACAGAGTAGAGACGATGACACACTTCGAAATAGTCAACAACAATACTCATTACCCATCCTGTGGACTATCTCCGGAACATAGTTTATTATGACTATGAACCCAGAGTTATTACTGAGACTATGAAGAACAATTCAGTTAATCCCCGACAGTAATAATGCACAGATGACGATGCGAGGTCTGTGAAATGGTCTAGGTCCCAATACAGGTTGGTAGGAATGACTGGTTCAACCCCGTCCCCCCATACACTTAACTGCCTATTACCTCTACAAAAAACAATGTTTCATAGGCAACGAAAAATGCGGCTTTCAGCTTTTCTGGCCAGAATTACGGATCGATGGTCTTGATCAACGTGAAGCCGAGATCTTCCTCGAGCAAATCATAATAGTTGGGTAAAAGTGTATAAGAGGCATCAGCGAGGTGTGGTAACGAAGTGGCAGAATATACCAACAACATGTGGTGCATGCAGAGTAAAGGTCTCCCAGGGTCGTGTTCAGAGTGAGGTGTGTGCAGAGCAGAGGTCAACGAAGGTCGTATTCAGCAAGATGCGTGCAGAGCAGAGGTCTCCCAGGGCCGTATCCACTTCATCGACCCTGTGCCATTCTGACGACAAACATAGCAGTTCCCTTGACCTAAACAACTGCTTGTTAAACCACACAGTCTTAACTTAAAATGTGTAGCTAGTGAACTATGTAGTTGTTTAATCACGTAGTTGCATGTTAAACCCGGATATTTCTTAGAACAAGTGCACGTTTAGCTACGTAGTTGTTACACCACGTAGCAGTTTGTTGAATTACGTAGCTCTTAAACCAAGTAGTTGTTAAAACGGAAATATCCTGGGATTGTCCACGAAACCCCTATCATGTGCTTATAGCATCCCACAGAGAGGGAGCATGGACACAAGGGTCGTCCCACAGCTGCTAAAAATAACAGACATAGTCCCGCTCCAAAAACAGGGGACAGTAAAGCAAAAGCAAAGAAATACAGACCGATAGCGCTTACATCCCATATTATAAAAATCTTTGAAAGGGGTCTAAGAAGCAAGAGCAACACCCATCTAGATACCCATCAATCACACAACCCAGGGCAACATGGGTTTAGAGCACGTCGCTCCTACCTGTCCCAACTACTGGACCACTATGACGAGGTCCTGGATGCTCTAAAAGATAAAAATAAAAAAAAAATATAAAAAATGCAGATGTAATATACACAGACTTTGCAAAAGCCTTTGACAAGTATGACCATGGTGTAATAGCGCACAAAATGCGTGATAGAGGAACAACAGGAAAAGTCGGTAGATGGATCTATAATTTCTTAACAAATAAAACACAATAGTAGTAGTATACAGAGTAAAGTCTGAGGCGGCTACTGTGAAAAGCTCCGTTCCGCAAGGCACAGTACTCGCTCCCATCCTGCTCCTTATCTGACATAAACAGGGATGTAAGCCACAGCACCGTGTCTTCCTTTGCAGATGACACCTGAGGAAAGATAGAAGGAGTAGAGGGGGAGGAGGGGTTGCACTGCTCATAAAACACCGATGGGGATTTGAGGAAATGGAAGGCATGAACATGATTGGAGAAAGAGACTACATTGTAGGTACAATTCAGTCCGGAGAACATAAAGTAGTCATTGGAGTGATGTATAACCCATCACAGAACTGCAGGAGGCCAAGAGAGGAGTACGAAGAAAACAACAGAGTGATGGTGGACACACTGGCTGAGGTGGCAAGAAGAGCTCACTCGAGCAGAGCAAAGTTACTGGTAATGGGCGATTTCAACCACAGGGAGATCGACTGGGAAAACCTGGAGCCACATGGGGGTCCCGAAACATGGAGAGCCAAGATGATGGATGTGGTACTTGAAACCTCATGCATCAAACCCTTTTCAGGGACACAACCAGAGAGAGAGGGGAGGATGAGCCAGCAAGACTGGGTCTTGTGTTCACCCTGAGCAGTTCAGACATTGAGGGACATCACTTACAGAGGCCCCTTGGAGCTAGCGATCACGTGGTTCTGAGTTTTGGGCTATATAGTTTGAGTTACAAGTGGAGAAGGTAACAGGAACTGAAGGGAAAAGGCCGAACTATAAAAGGGGGGGACTACACAAGTATAGAAAAAACTTCTGCAGGAGGTTCAGTGGGACAGAGAAATGGTAGGAAAATCAGTAAACGAGATTTATGGAAAATTTTGGCAACAAAGTGCAAGGAGGCAGAGGAAAGTTTTGTTCCCAAGGGAAACAGAAATAATAGGAAGACCAAAACGAGTCCTTGGTTTACCCCGGGGGTAGGGAGGCAAAAACTAAGTGCAACAGAGAATGGAAAAAGGGACAGGAGGCATAGGACCCAGGAAAACAAGGAGATTAGTAGAAGAGCCAAGAAACGAGTATGCACAGATAAGGAGGGAGGCCCAGCGACAGTATGAAAACGACATAGCATCGAAAGTCAAATCTGACCCGAAACTGCTGTATAGCCACATTAGGAGGAAGACAACAGTCAAGGACCAGGTGATAAGGCTGAGGAAAGAAGGTGGAGAACTCACAAAAAAACGATCAAGAGGTATGTGAGGAGCTCAACACGAGATTTAAGGAAGTATTTTTACAGTAGGACAGGAAGGACTCTGGGGGGACAGACCAGATGGGGACACCAGCAAGGAATACACCAACAAGTTTTGGGGACGACATACATACAGATGAGGAGGAGGTGAAGAAACTGCTAAGGGACATCGTACCTCAAAGGCAATGGGCCCAGAAACATCTCCCCATGGGTCCTTAGAGAGGGAAAGCAGATATGTTGTGCGTGCCACTTACCACAATCTTCAACACATCCCTGGAAACTGGGCAACTACCTGAGGTATGGAAGACGGCAAATGTAGTTCCCTTTTTTTAAAAAAGGAGACAGAAAAGAGGCACTAAACTATAGACCTGTGTCATTGACGTGTATAGTATGCAAAATTATGGAGAAGATTATCAGGAGGAGAGTGGTGGAGCACCTGGAACGGAACAGGAGTATAAATGCCAACCAGCACGGATTCACGGAAGGCAAATCCTGTGTCACAAACCTTCTGGAGTTTTATGATAAAATAAAAGAAGTAAGGGCAAGAGAGAGAGGGTGGGTTGATTGCATCTTCTTTGGGCTGCAAGAAGGCCTTTGACACAGTTCCTCCCCAAGAGATTAGTGCAGAAGCTAGAGATCAGGCGCATATAACAGGAAAGGGGACTGCAATGGATCAGGAATACCCGACAGGGAGGCAACAAAGAGTCATGGTACGTAATGATGTATCACAGTGGGCACCCGGACGAGCGGGGTCCCACAGGGGTCGGTCCAGGACCAGTGCTATTTTTGGTATATGTGAACGACATGACGGAAGGGTTTAGACTCAGAAGTGTCCTGTTTGAGTGTGTGAATTTAAAGAGGGAATTAAATTGATGAGGCCCAGGCGGACTTAAAAGAGACCTGGACGACTGGCCCCTGGTCCAGAAAATGGCTTCTCAAATTTAACCTGCCAATGCAAAGTCTGAAGATGGGGGGGGGCCAGAAACCACAGACAGAGTATAGGAGGGGGCCCAAAGATGCAACCTCATAAAGGGGGAAAGATCTTGGGGTGATATAACACCGAGCATGCCCGGGGGAAGCACCATCAATCAGTAACGCTGCAGATTGGGCCCCTGGCAAACCTGAAAAAGCTTTCCCGATCCCTTTATAAGGAATCATTCAAGACACTGTACACCGTTTGTCGGGCCCTACTGGAGTATGCGCACCTGTTTGGAACCGCACTTGATAAGCACGTCAAGAAACTAGAGAATTACAAGGTTTTTTGCGACAAGGTTATTTCCCCGGGAGAAGGGGAATGCCCTAGAGGAAAGTTAAGGGGAAAATGGCCTGACCCATGGAGGACGGAGGGTAGGGGGACTGATAACGACATATAAAATACTGCGTGGAATAGACAGGGGGAAAAAGAAGGATGTTCCGGGGGGGAACAGAAACAAGAGGCACTTTTGGAATTAAAAAAGGGAAAAAAAAAATTTTGAGTAGGAGATAGGGGGGAAATTTTTTTTTTTAAAGTTTGTGGGGGGCGTGGATAGAGAAAATGCGTGTGGGGGGGAAATAAAGGGAAAGACGATTTTAAAAAGGGGGGGGGGGGGGGGGGGGGGGGGGGGGGGGCCTAGTGAAAGGGTTTGAAGAGGGGGGCCAGGAGTTTGGATGCCCCCTGAAACCCACAAATTGGTGAGTCAAATAGGTGATACATGGTAATGCATTATTTACGCTAGCAAAGTCAGGGTATTTCTCCAAAATGGTTAAAATATACTACTGTGGATAAAATACTTTG